TCCGAGGTGAATTGAATGGCAGTCTGGGCCTTATTGAACTCTCGTGGGAGTGATTCCAATTCGTCTTTGTTGTTAACAACGGCGAAGCCGTCGTCTACATATCGGCAGTAATGTTGCATATTCTCTATGTCAGCATTTAAAGGACCATTTTCAAGTTTACTCATGAAAATGTCGGCTAGCATTGGGGCCCAGTGGTGAGCCCATGGCAACGCCGTCAGTTTGACGGTAGAGCATGCCATTGAACAGTAGTTGCACATTCAATGTGGATCGCAGGAGGAGTTCACGCAGCTCGTTGACTGGAATAGGTAGCCGAAAATTATTTGCTTCTATGTAGTTACATAGGTAGTTAATCGTTTCAGTTGGGGGGACGCTAGTGAACACATGAACGAATCTTTCAGTTCTAGGTCCTTTATTGAGTCCCCGAATTGAAATGTATCTCGCAAGCTGTATTGACACATTTGTCGTCGTATTGGTTCAAGCATTTTGACACACATGCACCGCGTGCTAAAGACAAAACTACAACAACCCTCGAGCTGACTATCTCAAGTCATCCTATTGGTGACCTGAACTAATGGTTCTTTGATAGGTAGCCAATGTCATCTCACTCGATTCCCTGTCCATTGACACCATACTCATTCAAATATGTTAAATACCGCTCTCTTAACCTTTGCAATTGTATGACTTGAAAAGACCTTACCGAAAACATGTTCGTCAACCCATCTGTGTTCTTATTATAAATGGGAATTTTCGGAATTGAATTAATTTAATTGAACTGATCCCTGCCTATGCCCATGTGCCAGCCAATATATATGTATTTGCATGCACACAGGTGTGGCTTTATTAACGGGAATAAATTTATTAAACAAATGACCTAACTGTTTTGTGAAAGACAAATATTTTGCGCTACTTGAGAGCCCGGAACCGCTGGTAACATGAAAGTATCAAGTCGGCGGACCGAAATGCAAAGGAATGCTGAAAGCCATTAGTTGGTCTAAACTGGCGGTAGAACACGACTATCATCACCACTTACTTGATTGCCATCGAAACATCGGTATCTGCCATCAATTTTTTCAACCAGGCTGTTAGTCTACAGTGGAAAGCCCAAAAGCACAGTATAGATGTTTCAGCCTTGTTAAGAAACATCCAGAGTACGTACCTCGCGAACTTCCAAGGGGAATAAGAGCCGAAACCTCCCGACAAGTTGTTTGATTTTCAACTGGTCATCAGCAAGTGGTTGATCAGCTGTCTTGTTAGCCCGTAGTTAGACAGGATATGGTGTCACTCCTTCTTCAGTTATGGAATCCACTTTACTTGGTCATCTGCTGACTGGTTCAGTTCATTCTGGTATCATCGTACTACGGCACATCAACTTTCATTACATTACTTGTTTTAAAAACCATTCTCGGGTAACATTCAGAACCATTCACTCGTAACAGTTAGACACTGCCAGGATGCGACAAGGAATTTATCCAATATCCACCACTGATTTGGATTTCTAGTTGTAGAAGATCTTTCTGAATATTTCATTGTCCGTTTCAGAACTAGGCCAATCTGGTAACTTATTTAATTGTTCTGGAAATCCTCCGTATCGAGGAAAGTTGGGTTATACAGTAATAGCTCAACCGACTGTTTAAGATAATTTTTAAAATACAAGATTGATTTCATTGTCTAAAGAACACATTCTCCTTTTTGGTGACAATTAAGAAGCAATTTTTCCCGTGTGACGTCGAGTTTGATGGATGTCCAACTAATCCGACAACCCCCACTCAATCCCACTCAGTCTGCATGGTAAAAGTGAAGCAATATTAAAACCCAATGGTTATAAGCTGTGTTATGGAAACGTAAGGAATTTCATCTCCTCACTCTATATGTGCCACTAACAGGGAGGCAGCGTGGTTCCTCTCTTATTAAAATCCATGCCGAAATGGATCGGATTGGCAGATGCATATGAGGTATTGGTTTGTGACATGTGATATTCCATTTCATATGCAGGTAGAAAAAGGTGGATGAAAGTGATCTAAGGCAACTCGAAAAAAAACGTCAGCGAAAACATATTGTTTTGTCTTCTCGGATTTTACTTTCGTTAGGGAGACCCGATGATGCTTAAGTTCTGTCACTTTTGCATACCACATTCCTTAAAAAAGGAACTACTGAGAAAACGATACTTGTGTTCTCTGATTTGAAGCGATCCCCGACTCTACTCGTTGGTTTTTTTTGTCACCGTTCAAATCGGGATCTTCTCTTCATGTTAAATTCGTGTTTAAAGCGGACGAATTATACTGAAAGTTGTTTGTAGATTGGATGGATGTTGATCTGCTCGCCGAGCCTGACAATCTCCTTGCTTTGCAAGCGGTTTGCAGTTGTGGGAATGTTATCATGGTGCGGTTAGCTTAACTTCCATGTGAAAAATTATTCAGAATCCTGGCGCTGACCACGGGCTAACTAAGGTGTTCGGCCAAGTTCTTGAAAATAAATAGGATTTCCGGCGCAGCTGCAAAATGAAAGCAATTTTGCTGCTCATTAGTATTTACTCGTTAGTACCATTGGTATCTACTCATTAGTAGTCCAAACATGTGCAAATTTTACAATTCGAATGAAATCCCTGTCAGATTGATTCAAATGCGAAGTACTTAAAGTTAGGCCATATAAATTTTCATTGAAGTATAGTAAATTGGTTATAACTGTTATCTGGTTCTCAGAGGTTCCTCCAAATGTCCAGCGGACAATACACATTTGAAGCAGGATCACATAAAACTGGACAAAGATTTCCAACTGCAAATGGATGAGTTGGCCGTGCGATGTACTTTTGAACCGGGCGGTTGTACTTGGACTGGGAAACTGGCGCAACTGGGTGGGCATTTATCACACTGTGGCTTTCGTGTCATCACATGCCCAAATGACTGTGGTGTGGAGTTTGAAGTAAGTGGAATTTTCGTTTTCTGATTTTGGCCCACTTGCGTCATAAACCTTTCTCCTTAATCTAGTGTTTTGTGGCTGTTTAGACACACTTTGTCTGTCCACGCAATTTAGCAGAAATAGCATGCAGGCATTCAGGCACCGGCCTGTTCAGCCTTCGAGTATGTTCTGTATGATTATTGCTCAGTTTTGAACCCCTTGTTAGAATGAGTTGATCGATTTTAGCCTATTTTGCAAACGTTTGGTCGCGTGCAAAGAACCGGTCGTGCGGCTCGGCTCACATAAACCGGACTCGAAAACCATACGGTTTTATGTCTGTTCGCCGAGCTTGGCAGTTGGATTGCAAACGTTTCATCACCAATCGAGGCGACATCGTCAATGCAGGGTTGGGTGGGTTAATTCCTCCTCTTCTGCCTGTGATTCTACAGCTTCTAAACAGTATCTGGTAGTTTCGGAAACTACGCGAAGACCGTTCCAGAACTACCAGTCATTCGTTGTCAAACGTTTAATTGGTCTCCTAGTTGTCAAAAGGTCACGGATTCGGAACTTCCTGCGTTTTGTGAGATGCGCACTCTCATTGATTACAAAGAAGGATGAAACAGCTGTACAGTGCTTCTGCATATTTTAGCATAGATTACTTGACAGAATGAAATTCCTATTGAAAGCTCCAACAAGCCGCTGCAATTGTAGGTTGTAATAGATTAAATGTGACATAAATGCCGCTTTTGTTTTCCACAGCTTTGTTGCATTGGGGATTTTTCCAGAATAAAAGACGCTTACCGCTCAGTCTGTATCACTAGGTAGCCAACCCCAAGAAGTAACTCGGGTGATTTAACTTTTCCGCATATGCGACGTGAACGCGTTGCAAATATCAGAAAACTTGTCTACCTAAACGTAGTCAAGCAGCCAGATTTTTCGACGTGATTTGAAGCAGAAATTACTTTGTTTAGCATTTGTCATTCACGCAAATCCGGTTGATGATAACTTTGTAATGGAAACACGCAAAACGTCACAGGATGGATACCATTGTTGTGAAGTGTTGAGTCACAATCCGAGGGAGGCTTGCATTGAATTGCTAGATTTGTAAGATCAACCATATCCCCCCTCTGTATATAGCAGCATGGTTGGAGACAATATTAATGCGATGCAGGGAGGTAAGGCACCAGTAGACGTTGATTTGTATCAAATGGAAGATATTTAGGCTTTTGAGATGTGAGCCCCAATGGATACCAACAATTTTGGCGAAACAGTCAGTAACATGTGGATTACAACGTCAGCAGTGAATCAGTGTGCATCAGAAACAAAGTATCTTAAGTTGTTGATCGATTTACAGGTTACCCAACATCGCACCCTCCGCATCACACTACATTTGTGATATATGAAAACAGGATTGACTCATAAGATATGGATGCATACTTTGTGAAGCTCACTTTTGTCGTGAATGATGCTATCGCTATGTTATTTTCGGGTGAGTTTCAAGCACGAAGTCTTTGAAAATGTTTTGAAGTTAAGTTATGTGTCCTGCTAAGCTAACGCAGAGCACGGGTGTGGAACACGCACAAATCAAATACAGGAGCTAATCGAAGGTCATCTAGTCAATTGAGAAACAGGGTTTTTGATTAAGACTGCCACAGCAAGCTAAAATCTGTGCGAAAATCCAGAGAACCCGGAAAAATAGTTGTCAGAAACTTTGATAAAACTTATATAGTGATGCTTTTCGAGCAAAAAATTGATAAATCTCATCAAAAGTGCCAAATGCCGTTTTTGGAGCATATGGATCAACTATCAAACTCGATTACCATGGGAAGGCTTCTCTCCAATGCTGACATACGACAGACATCCAGCTTGGTATCTATTCGTCATCAGGTTTGATTAGTCAATGTGGAGATTCAGACATTCACACTTGGCTAACTATTCTCTATTTATTGATACGCCACAGAACTAAGCCTAATGATGTATTATTCTCCCTTTCTTTTTAGCAACGCTATCTTGAAACCCACGTGAGCAATGATTGTCCAAAACGTTCAAAGAAGTGCAAATTTTGTGATGCATCACTAATTGCCGCAAACGAGTTGAAACACATTGGAGTATGTCCTCGTTTTCCTGTAACGTGTCCGAATGACTGCAAAAAAAGAGATATTCCACGATGCCAACTGGCCGAACATTTGGCGACCGAGTGCTCAAAGCAAGATCTTCCCTGTCCGTTCGAGCCACACGGATGTGAGTTTCTTGGACGCAAGAAGAAGACAGAAGTCCATCTGACTGAATGCCACATTGAACATTTGAATATGGTGAACTCGTCAATGCAACAGATGACATTGCTGCTTGAAGCGCAGGTAATAAGGACTATGATAGCTGAACGAATGTGCTTGTTGACCGAACTGCTCATAAGATGAAGCGCACAGAGAGTGTTGATTTCTGACCACGGGTACCGACTTCTTCAGCAAAGCACGAGACCCAGATTAGTTGAACAAAAATTACTCAAGCATTCTAGCTGTTGACATGTCGACCTCGGAAGTTATTCGACAGTAGTGAAATTCAGTATGCGCATCATTCTGAAATTTGGCGTTTCTGAGGTACGGTCGCGTGTCATAGTCAGGTGAAAATTTTTTCCTAAACATTTTTCCTGAGGAACGGAATCAACCCTGTCTACCCCAAAGCCTGCTTCCTGTTAAAATATAACTTGGGCTCCAATTTTTAATGTATGTACGGATAGACGATAGGCGGTAAATAGGCCCTGGATAAAGGTCAAACTCAGATGCGTTGTGGTGGATGTCTGTCCTCTTGTTCTATTTAGTTTGGCAGAAGTGTGCAAAAACTAGGGAAGAGTTCATTAGACAAGGATTGAGTATGCGAGTAAATGAGACGTTTTTATAGGATAATAATGCTACTTACTATACTATTGAGTGGAGGGAAGCCCTTTGCCTCGAAGTCGCCCATTAGAAAACACCAGCTCATCAGTAACAAGCTATTGGACAGGAAATTAAACGTCTCGTGGGCACATAGTATGTAAAAACTAAACATGCTCATGCGTCTTCTGGTATTTTTTTGGAGATTCATTGATCAGTAAACAACCGTAAACGAACGCTGCAAAGCAGTTCAACAATTTCCGTAGTAAAGTTCTCCCACCGTTGGACGCGGGGTGGAGCTTAAAAATAACCACAGACTACTCGCTTGCATCATCAGTAGTATACGCCTGTTCGCTACTGTCACATGCGGACCTATTAATCGTTTAATTGCGCCCATAAGATCACCGGCCTGTCGTCAAATGTGATAATTCGGACTACTGTTCATTCGTTAGACACAAAATTAGAACAGGACGTTGGGTTTACCGATAATTTGTCTTCTGTTCCGTTTGTGTGCGAGGCTAGGTAAATGGTATCATCATTAGGATTGTTTAATTACAAGTGAACCAAGAATCACAGCGTTTGAAGTGAGCTTTCAGCCCTCCTAGTGGTCATGCATAGCTTCAGGAATTCCGTATGTTAGGTCTGTGACAGTTCCCTTGTAGACGTATGAAGGTGTTATTCACTCCTAGAGGGCTGCTGTTTCATTAAAAAAAACGGAAACCAACTTTGCGCTCTATTTCTGTGATTTAAGTTGGCTCCCTGAAAGAAAGTTCAATCTCTGTCCATTGATATTTCAGAATGTCCAATTGATAATATCTAAGAAGCTCACAAAACTCAAGCTGTTCGTTCAATGATCAAAGTACGCCACGTGAATTTTATAGACACAAGTAATAAAAATTAGGTTTGCAACGGCTTATCTTTAGTTTGTGATGCATGATCCACACAACCACAGTGCATTGTTCCCTCCGAATGTCTGTGAAGAGGTTTTGCTGGGGAATCTGAACTTGTGTGGAGACGATACATTTGGGCTTGGAATACGTTTGCCTCCGAGGACTCACTAGGCGGTCAGCCCCATAATAATTTAATTTATAATGGGTTTGGTAGGAGAATGACGTTCTGGTATATGGGAAAAGTCAGCCCCATAATAATTTAGGAGAATGACGTTCTGGTATATGGGAAAAACCACCCACTGACAAGTCTGCTACTACGCCTCTGCTGGCGACTTCACCCTCGTGAAACAACGATGAATGAGGAACTAGTAGTTTCTGACGGCTAAGTCCCATTTGTCGTATAGTCCGTTTGGCTTAATGGCATACAGTGTACAGCGTTACTCTTGACTCTGAAATTCACAAACTACGCGCAATATAGTGCAATTATCCAATTCAAAATTTCGCCACAATTTCGCAATACAAAGAGATGCTTGTTTACGCCACCAGTTTAGAAAAACTATCCGAAGAGACAGGTTCTACCTGTAGTCTAGGATGTAACACAATCAGGTCGCAGGTGCTTCCAGTGTCACCTTCATCATTGGTAAAAGTTCATCAGACATTCATACTTTTCCTTGTACTGCTGAAAGTATTTGCCTTTTTGGAGCACCATCGATGCGAGTTGGAGTTTAGACGGGTTGAATTAAACAACTTCGGTACTGACACACGTAAGGCGTTCGAGCAACTCATGTATAATACAATCACTTTGGCAGCCAAGCCCACTGTTAGCAAATATATCAAATATCCGTTTCTATCCTACGGTACTCTCATTGCAAATAATGTCCAGTTTTTGTTTGATCAAAGGCTGCGATGGATGTGAGTATTTTCAGAGTTATTACGATGGTCAGGTAATTGGTACGTACCGGACCAAGGGAGACTCGCGGTTTGGGTTAGGTTTCACATTCCGGCCCTCTGTGACAGGGTCAGTTATGCCTGCGGCATGTGTGTGTTTTGGAAATAAACGGGGTCGCAAATAATGATAAATTTAGTGGGAGGTCTCAGTTTGGGGATTAGATCTCTCAAACGAGCCTACTGGAGGATATACTTGTGTGCTTATTTGATCATTCTCGTCGTTGTGGTCATCATCGTCTTTAGGGACTGCGATGCACAAGCAGTATAAACTGGCGTTTGACTGCCGTGCAGCCATGATGAATGAGGCCCCAATCAGACACAAATACTAAGGAAAAGAATGAAGACCTGTTGCAGAAAGCCCAGTATTTTGAGGGAAAATGGCCGAGAAGAAAAGACTCACAGCTTGTAAGACTTTCGAAATAAAACCATCTGTATGTTATGTTAGGTGAAAACGTCATCAATGTAGCCCACAAACCAAATACACTACTGGCGAACAAAAACAGAACACTACTAGAAAAACACTCTAGCTAAGACAGAACAGGATCGGATCACTAGTGCGATCATCCCGCAGGGACGCAACCAAGGAAGGAGCGTTGAGCGATGATCGAGATGACAAACTCGTTGTGGGGTCGTACGTATAAGGTTCTTGTTTAACTGTGTTTCAAAAAGGCATAAAATTTGTTCGGCGGCAAAATACACATGAGTGTGAATGTAAAATATACAACGTGAAGAGAGCTGAAACAAATCTTACCGGAAAACGAGGCTTCACTCTCACAACAATGTAATCTGCATGAGTGCCATTTGTCGAGAAAAACTCGGACTTCTACTGAGATATACTGGTCAGAGCTCGTTTGGAACTTACACGACAATTCTAGAAAAGAGACCTTGCATTTATTAGAAAAGATTTTAAGTCGATACGTCCAGACTTATTAAAGGATGGGTAGAAAGCAAACCGGATAAAACTTACCTTTTTTTAAACAGAAATTTTGCATTTTTCTTCATCACTTAAAGATGTGTTGGTGTACCCTTACACTGAATGACTCACCACACATTGAGTCTTCAGCCTTGTGGGCCAAACTGTCGTCTAAAGCAAGCCAAATGGTCACGTACTTGGTTGGCTTGAGTGTGAATTCCGACGTGAACTGAAATGTGATCGTATTTAATTGTGAAGTACTCATAAAATTGTTTGCACAAGCAAGTAGTTGCAAACATTCAGAATAACCTGATATAGTTGAACAACCATGTAGGAACTTCAGGTGAGTGGAAGGCTAAGTAAGTGAACGATCCATCTTAATATCATGTCGTGCAAAGTGGAACTTGACACCTTTGCCTCACATGTTAGTCTGATCCGGTCTTTCATATTTTCTGACTGAGAACTAATTTATTTACTCCCTGTCAGACAAAGTCTTTCACTGAACTCAAATCCATGCTGACACAACAAGCCAAGCGCCTGACTGCACTCGAACGATGTTTCGGCTCGTCATTCACTTGGAAGATCGACAACTACGCGGAAAAGTTCAGTATGGCAAAGTCAGGCAAGCAGACCACATTGTTCAGCCCACCGTTCTATACGCATCGCTGTGGCTACCGTATGGCCGTTTCTGTATGTTTGTACGGAAGCGGAGATTGCCGTGGGAAGTTTATGTCCGTGTTTGTCTGTCTGTGTCGTGGGGAACATGACACGGTTTTATCGTGGCCGTTTACGCACCAGGTAGGTGAAAATATAAAGCTACACCCCCAGTTCGGTCATAGCAAAGTGGGTAATGTCGGATGTGTTTTCAAACAAGGACAACACCTCTCTTGAAATGGTCTCCAGACATCTTTGTAATTACTCTATGTCTCTGATCGTTTTCTCAGTTTATCTGGGTTGCAGTGTGAAATATCCAATGAAGCCTGTGTGCCTGATTTGGAAAATGACCCTGTGATATGTCTTACGCAAAATATTCTTCTTCCGTCACACGATCACGTGACGTAGCGCGACAATTGGGCCACATGATTTCGTTCATTAGATCAGTGGATATATGAAACGCTATTGTTTAACACATCACACGATAGCGGTACCTGATTCATGTTTCTACCCTTATTTGATGTTCAGATCACTTTAACCGACCTGAATTTTGAGCGGAAGCGTTTGCGTCAAAAACGAAGTGTTACCCACTTTCCGAAAGCTTCTGAAAAGAAATGTTTTCTTGTTTTCCTAGCAAAGTCGGTATGTCAAAATGAAGGGAGAAAATTCGTAAAACGACGTTTTACAAAGTTGACTTTGATGACCGTACACGTCTTTACAAAAGCCGTAATTTTTGTGGTGTTTCTGAGATATTTGGTATTTTACAAATCACCCTCTGATATATCACCATGCATGCACAGAAAAACAACAAAACTGACTGGCTTTCCATCTTTCATGCTAGGGTTGATTTTGTTGTGTTTGTGCGGGAGAAGGATTGGAACAAGTAAGCCCAAAATCATACACCCGGTGGAGCTACGTGCAGGTACTGATGAAAATTGCAACGTGTCCAAAATTGTAAAGCCACTCTAATTTGGCTTAGAACGACCAACGGGAGAAAAAGTTGGTACGCTTAGCAGATCATAATTTAGAGGTTCAAAGCTGGTCAATGAATTTACCTAACGTTGAAAGGTTCTAACTTTTTTCCGGGGCGTGGTGCGCGCGTAGCCTTTTTCTGTCTGAAGTTGGCAAAATCCATCTTTGAACATAGAGGTGAGATTTTGCGTCAATCGATCACACTGCTTGTGCGTCGGATAACGCGGTTAAAATTTCAAGTGAATCACGAGGGATAGAATGTATCTAAACCAGCAAGAGGATTATCGTAAAATTTGCTTAAAATCATAACGCCGCCTGGTCTTTCACAGGGGAACCACCTGTTATATATGTTCGACTTCTCTGAAAAAAACGTCCAAGGGCGTATCGATCGAATGACAAAATGATCTATCTATATACTTTCTTTACCGCACGGTCCACATAGGATGAGCACACACATAGTTTTCGTCATTAAAATAATTCGGTCAGCTATCTACATTTAATCGAAATAAAGCACTGAAGTCTTCTGCCAGGATACATATTTAGGTCGGTATCAGATTTCATTCTGTCAGGGAAGTTAATCTATGCTAAAAAGTCCAGGAGCAGTGTACAGCTGTTTCATCCTTGTTGGGAATCACCAACAGTGCGCATCTTAGGAAGTTTCAAACCCACGACTCTCAAACCAGTGGCTGAACGCAAGCGGCTGAGCAGTAGTTGGGTTATCTCTGACTTAGACAGTACATAGCAACCCTCATCCTTCAATCACGGGAACCATATCACTCACGACATGTTGGCTGACTTTTCGAGTGACGACTTCTCAGTTGGAGCTTACACTCGTCGCGTAAAATTGTCCTTTCTCTGGACTACTGATAAACTGAAGGTGGCGTGAGGAGGTTGATTAAAATTCAAAAGGGTTTTCATGCTTCCAAAGAAGCCCATCTAAAATGAAAACGTGAGGAGCACTGTAAAATATTGTTTCACCCTACTTAGAACCGTCATAAACGAGCATCCCCAGAAACTCGGATTTGAAGTTCTCTGAGTTCAGTGAGGTGCACACTGTAAATAACACGTGTAAACAGCTGTACAATGTCCCAGGGCACTTCAAAATAGAGTTGTCTCACTGATACGAAGACATCGCTGTTGGAAATCCGAAAAATTAGGTTTGTGGTAATCGGTTCTCATGGAGGTGTCTTTGCGAAGTGAACAATCATTCTCGATTACTTTGTCGTCCATCTCTGATAGTCGCCTTCAAAATAAAGACCCATTTTAATAGTAACTGCATGACATTAATTTTTGATGAACGCTCATTTCTTATTTTGTTAATTTTTAAGCTTACTTTCACCCTGTTGGACCAACATCCGGATGTAACGATGCGTAAACCGGTTGACTATACCATTAAACCGAACGCCGGGGCAGACCAAACAATGTTTCTGGGTAGACCAACGGCCGAACGAAATCCGTGTTTTGGTGCCCCGAGATTCATGAAGCTTGAAGCTCTCAAAAATTCGGACTACATTTTTGAAGACTGCATTTTCCTAAAAATCACCATGAATCTGGATGAGGTGCCAGCCATCTGAACTTACAGAGAGATGAATCCTCACACTTTCGTTTTGTTTTCCCAATCCGGCATGTTATGTTGTTTTCACTAAAGATAAAAGATTTCTAATTTCATGAACATATTTTTGGGACTCTTGCATCGTTTGCGCAATTTCAAATTATTACTTTATTTTACCCTCTGAATGATTCTCGAGCCCGTACACGCCCTCTGTCATCTCTTATGCAATCACAAACGCAAAATCGCATTTTCCATTTATCACTAAATCTGATATTTCGCCCTCCGAAAGCTGAATGTGTTGAAAGCCGGAGTGCTTCATCCTGTCTTTTACTCTTATTAGTTGCCCAAATCCAGAAGAAAAAATAAAACTTTGTGTTTTTTTGGTCGGCGACTGTGTACACCGTTAACTTTTAAAATATTGAATAAGTACATGAACAACGTTTTGATTGTTCCCCGCAAGAGTGATGGGGGAACGGTATGCCCAAAATTATATTACTATTAAACATAGTTCAAAACCGCATTCGTTGTCCACTTGGTTTCTAACAGTGTAGTTAACTGTCAGACAGCAAGAATGAATGGGATTTGGAATTATATCACTATTAAACATAGCTCAAAACCGCTTGGTTTCTAACAGTGTAGTTAATTGTCAGACAACAAGATTTGTCTTTTGAGACCTCGCGCCTGAAGAGTGATAACTGCATGGATTTGTGGAGAGCTGTTACAATTATTTTCTCCAGAGCACTTCGATCATCAGTGCTTCCAGGGATAGGCGGCCTGATTTCCAGCCTTCTCAAAATAAGCGATAGATTTAGCCGTCTCACAGTTCGGAACAGAACTCTGACCCATTTTCAACGTCAGCATCTATAAACCATAAGTTTTCGAGGAATACGTTTTGATTTGCTGAAACGTATTTTAGAATTATCTGGTCTAGGTAGAAAGATCTCAGTTGCCGAACGATACTGAGTCCGCTTTCTAAACTAAACTTTGTTTGTGTGTACCATCGAAATCTCCGGGTGAAAAGTTCTCCACCTTCATCTTTTCCCCAGTATCCTGCAACGGTTCCATCACAAATCCTAACCCATTTTTTATAATCGGGTAGTGACCAGTAGCTTCTACTTGATTGAACCAAGCCACTTCATTCCTAAATTTAAAGGCCAAAGGTGTCCCATTTTTTATACATGTTTATATACATATATACTTTGGTCACTACGGTTCACCAGCTATACTACTGCTTGTGAGGTCAATATTAACTCGTGGTAGCTTTCTACTCCTTCTTGCTTCTCAGGTCGAACCAGATTGGTTTAACTTCCCACTCTCCATTATCCGTCGTTCCTAACTGAAAAGCCAGCTTCATGTATGCTGTAATAAACATTGATTTGCAACAAAAACTACTTCAGGCATGAGACTTCGCTTAAATTTACCCGAACGTCTTCGAGTGAATTAGCTTCACAAGGGTGGCCACATGTCCGTCAAAGTGTGCTTCGGTACCACTCTTAAGATTTCAAAACAGGAAGTTTTAGTGAACTTCAGATTAGTCTTTCTCCAACATCAAGTTAAGTTGCAAACTGTGTCACTTGATTGCTACAACAAAATGACATCCACTGTGCTTCAAGGATATTAAAAATTCCGTTAGTTAATCGTATTAAATTTCAGGTTTTGAATAAACCCAATTTGCGGCAGTCATTTTGCTGCTTGTCTTGCTCTACCAGTCCAGTATGAAAGCGATCGGCCCTATGAGGCCTCCAAAAATTCTAGAAAGTGTGGAATTTCCGTATGGTCTTCTAACCTCACTGATGTGGGTGCACTCTAAGTTTGATCCGATTCAAAGAAAGCTCCATGTTGGTAAACCTCTTACGCGTTGATTTATGACAAATTTACTGGCTACATTTGGTAGGCTGTCGGGAAAAACCCTGACGTCAAAAAAAGTCACTGGAAAAAGTTTGGCAACTACAAATATAGTCAAGTTTTGGCATGTAGTGCAGGATTAATTAAAGTGTAGTTTGTAGAAAGACGCCTCAGTGGAACACATAAATACTAAACGCATCAAACTCTTGGACACGTATGCTTACACTGGGTGGTGTGATGTGAAATCAAAAAGAATGAATATTCAGTTGCGGCTTCTGAAGTCACTTTGGCTTGGAAAGGTAACGTGGTGTACATAGATAATGAAATGTTGCTTTAGGTTAGCTGCTACTCAGTCAGTTACCGACATTAGGGACATTGATAAGTTTTGTGATCTTCACAGCGATATTACTGAGTGTAATTAGAAGTTGATGCTTGATTCGTTAGATTGTCATCTGGACCAGAGTAAGTTGTGTTCGAGTATGAGGAGGTAGACTGCTGCCCAGTCCCAGTACCTTTATCAGTATATTCAGCTGTTGAAATCCTGCTCTCTCCGCCATCGCCAGTATTAGAGTGGACCGTGGATGAGACCGGAATTGTTGAGGAATACTTAGCAGTGGTGTCCTCAGACGAACCTGATTTTGCCTCTGTGCTGACGTTGTAATAAAAGTTACCGGAAGTTGCATCAGGTGCATGCGTATGTGTCCCGTCCCATCCGTTTTTGCTGACAATTTTAGTAAAACCCAAAGTCGTTTGAGAAGCAGTAGAGTCATCATATTTAACGGTAGCGGTGAAGTCTTGATTGAGGTCTGATGTGACATGGTCAGTTACACCAGATACCGTCGTCAAGTTAGTATGAACTTCGGATCGGAAGATTGACTGGAATGGAATGACAGTTGAGTCATTTTCTCCGCCTTCAACTCCGCTTGGAGAGCTGGAATTCTCCTCGAAGTTTGCTTTGCCGTCATCCGTCGAGTGCCGATGATTCTGGTCTACACTGGTTGTGAGAACATTTACATTGGATTCGGTTGGCAGTTTTGTGGACACGCCATCTGATGCGCTGTTTGTAGTAAATTCTTGGAAAAAAACAAGAAAGTGAGTGTGGGTAAGTTAGCTATTGTCACTGTTGTGGTTACCACATTGAAAAACCTTGCTAAATGGAATTGTTTAGCATGATTCTGTCATTGCTCGTAGAAAGTTGTATTTGTTGCTGTGGACATTATGCTTTTTCCTAGTTGATGCGCGCGCGTCAGTATAAAAGGCGACCTCAGTTAAGTGTCGCCGTCAATACATGTCCAAGAACTTGAATCCCACTCACGATATACATCGTGCAAGCGTGTTCCCATCGCGTACCCATCTCAGGTTTAAGGCTTGTTTAGTTGTCTGTAATCGACGTCCGCTTACAAAACACCGGCAACACGATTTTCTCTAATTTAACATGACCGGAGGTAGATTCGGAAAGTGGTCTACAAAGTACAGTGGTTATGGCATACAGTAGGAGGAAATCGTTAGTTTGCTTTGAACAGCCAATCATGAAAGGAAATTCACTTCGTCCACTCAGCCGCGCACCGATCATTTTCTACCAATTAGGGACAAAACGCTCGCAAGCAAGTTGTAAAGCCACTGAATCTACAACAAATAAGGCGTTCAACCTACCAGTATTTCAATATATATGTATATATGTACATATGTATATATATATATATATATATCTGGCGATGTGTCGGAATATTTGTCCAAAGGACATACGTGAAAGAAATAAGAAACAAGCTGTTAAAAGAATACATGGGTACAAGGGAAACGACGCAATCGATTTTCCTTATTCTCGTGAACAAGGAGAAGAAATGACACGAGGTTAATTGGAGCCGTCTTTGGACCAATGATCTTGATCGGAAGAGGCGCTCGGTCAATAAATCATAGTCAAACGAACCTGTTTCTGTCTCTGTGCTCGCGTTGTCATTAACGTTACCGGTAGTTGCATCAGTTGTATGCGTATGTATGTCGCGCCATCCGGTTTCACTGACATTCTCAGTAAAGCCCAAAGTCGTTTGAGAAGCAGTAGAGTCATCATATTTAACGGTAGCGGTGAAGTCTTGATTGAGGTCTGATGTGACATGGTCAGTTACACCAGACCAGATACCGAAGTTAGTATGAACTTCGGAAGATTGAATGGACTGGAATGGAATGACAGTTGAGTCATTTTCTCCGCCTTCAACTCCGCTCCGCTTGCTGGAATTCTCCTCGAAGTTTGCCGTGGAAGCATCCGTCGAGTGCCGATGATTCTGGTCTACACTGGTTGTGAGAACATTTACATTGGATTCGGTTGGCAGTTTTGTGGACACGCCATCTGATGCGCTGTTTGTAGTAAATTCTTGGAAAAAAACAAGAAAGTGAGTGTGGGTAAGTTAGCTATTGTCACTGTTGTGGTTTACCACGTTGAAAAATGGTAAATGGAATTGTTTAGCATGATTCTGTCATTGCTCGTAGAAAGTTGTATTTGTTGCTGTGGACATTATGCTTTTTCCTAGTTGATGCGCGCGCGTCAGTATAAAAGGCGACCTCAGTTAAGTGTCGCCGTCAATACATGTCCAAGAACTTGAATCCCACTCACGATATACATCGTGCAAGCGTGTTCCCATCGCGTACCCATCTCAGGTTTAAGGCTTGTTTAGTTGTCTGTAATCGACGTCCGCTTACAAAACACCGGCAACACGATTTTCTCTAATTTAACATGACCGGAGGTAGATTCGGAAAGTGGTCTACAAAGTACAGTGGTTATGGCATACAGTAGGAGGAAATCGTTAGTTTGCTTTGAACAGCCAATCATGAAAGGAAATTCACTTCGTCCACTCAGCCGCGCACCGATCATTTTCTACCAATTAGGGACAAAACGCTCGCAAGCAAGTTGTAAAGCCACTGAATCTACAACAAATAAGGCGTTCAACCTACCAGTATTTCAATATATATGTATATATGTACATATGTATATATATATATATATATATCTGGCGATGTGTCGGAATATTTGTCCAAAGGACATACGTGAAAGAAATAAGAAACAAGCTGTTAAAAGAATACATGGGTACAAGGGAAACGACGCAATCGATTTTCCTTATTCTCGTGAACAAGGAGAAGAAATGACACGAGGTTAATTGGAGCCGTCTTTGGACCAATGATCTTGATCGGAAGAGGCGCTCGGTCAATAAATCATAGTCAAACGAACCTGTTTCTGTCTCTGTGCTCGCGTTGTCATTAACGTTACCGGTAGTTGCATCAGTTGTATGCGTATGTATGTCGCGCCATCCGGTTTCACTGACATTCTCAGTAAAGCCCAAAGTCGTTTGAGAAGCAGTAGAGTCATCATATTTAACGGTAGCGGTGAAGTCTTGATTGAGGTCTGATGTGACATGGTCAGTTACACCAGATACCGTCGTCAAGTTAGTATGAACTTCGGAAGATTGAATGGACTGGAATGGAATGACAGTTGAGTCATTTTCTCCGCCTTCAACTCCGCTTGGAGAGCTGGAATTCTCCTCGAAGTTTGCCGTGGAAGCATCCGTCGAGTGCCGATGATTCTGGTCTACACTGGTTGTGAGAACATTTACATTGGATTCGGTTGGCAGTTTTGTGGACACGCCATCTGATGCGCTGTTTGTAGTAAATTCTTGGAAAAAAACAAGAAAGTGAGTGTGGGTAAGTTAGCTATTGTCACTGTTGTGGTTACCACGTTGAATAAATGGTAAATGGAATTGTTTAGCATGATTCTGTCATTGCTCGTAGAAAGTTGTATTTGTTGCTGTGGACATTATGCTTTTTCCTAGTTGATGCGCGCGCGTCAGTATAAAAGGCGACCTCAGTTAAGTGTCGCCGTCAATACATGTCCAAGAACTTGAATCCCACTCACGATATACATCGTGCAAGCGTGTTCCCATCGCGTACCCATCTCAGGTTTAAGGCTTGTTTAGTTGTCTGTAATCGACGTCCGCTTACAAAACACCGGCAACACGATTTTCTCTAATTTAACATGACCGGAGGTAGATTCGGAAAGTGGTCTACAAAGTACAGTGGTTATGGCATACAGTAGGAGGAAATCGTTAGTTTGCTTTGAACAGCCAATCATGAAAGGAAATTCACTTCGTCCACTCAGCCGCGCACCGATCATTTTCTACCAATTAGGGACAAAACGCTCGCAAGCAAGTTGTAAAGCCACTGAATCTACAACAAATAAGGCGTTCAACCTACCAGTATTTCAATATATATGTATATATGTACATATGTATATATATATATATATATATCTGGCGATGTGTCGGAATATTTGTCCAAAGGACATACGTGAAAGAAATAAGAAACAAGCTGTTAAAAGAATACATGGGTACAAGGGAAACGACGCAATCGATTTTCCTTATTCTCGTGAACAAGGAGAAGAAATGACACGAGGTTAATTGGAGCCGTCTTTGGACCAATGATCTTGATCGGAAGAGGCGCTCGGTCAATAAATCATAGTCAAACGAACCTGTTTCTGTCTCTGTGCTCGCGTTGTCATTAACGTTACCGGTAGTTGCATCAGTTGTATGCGTATGTATGTCGCGCCATCCGGTTTCACTGACATTCTCAGTAAAGCCCAAAGTCGTTTGAGAAGCAGTAGAGTCATCATATTTAACGGTAGCGGTGAAGTCTTGATTGAGGTCTGATGTGACATGGTCAGTTACACCAGATACCGTCGTCAAGTTAGTATGAACTTCGGAAGATTGAATGGACTGGAATGGAATGACAGTTGAGTCATTTTCTCCGCCTTCAACTCCGCTTGGAGAGCTGGAATTCTCCTCGAAGTTTGCCGTGGAAGCATCCGTCGAGTGCCGATGATTCTGGTCTACACTGGTTGTGAGAACATTTACATTGGATTCGGTTGGCAGTTTTGTGGACACGCCATCTGATGCGCTGTTTGTAGTAAATTCTTGGAAAAAAACAAGAAAGTGAGTGTGGGTAAGTTAGCTATTGTCACTGTTGTGGTTACCACGTTGAATAAATGGTAAATGGAATTGTTTAGCATGATTCTGTCATTGCTCGTAGAAAGTTGTATTTGTTGCTGTGGACATTATGCTTTTTCCTAGTTGATGCTCTTTTTCTCATATGATGTGTGCGCGTCAGTGGAAGACGCAATCCCCCATTCGGTGTCGCCATCAGAAAGACGCTCAACATTATAAATGGATGCCGCTAAACGGCGCAATCGAGTTTTCTTATTTTGGTGGACAAAGAGTAGAAATGTCACATTAATCATTTGGAGCGGGACTTGCAGCCATTATCTTGATCGGAAGAGGTATTCGGCCGATAAATTATAGTACAGAATCAACCGGCGGACATAGGCGACACCAGACGGTAAAAAGACTAAAATAGAGCACGGTGGCCTTATAATCATTATCAGAATGTAAGGCCACAACCCAATTCAAGTTAGAAAAGCAGTCAAATAAAGAAAAGAAGCTACTAAGTAGTAGTCACTGCGTTACCAGTGGAATCAAATCAACGCAGACCCCAACGCATAGATCACAAACCGACCAACAAGTTCACAAATTTGCTTTTTTCCCTTTGTTAAAAGATAACTGATAATCTTCACGTGCCATATTAACGCACGCGGAAAAGCAGAACGTACGCACTCAACCACAGTTTGATGGTATCTCCTCGTACGGTGACAAAAACATCTGGAAATCAATAGCCAAGCTTGTTGAACAGACCAGAAGCCAGGTGTTTGGCTATCTATTCTCGCTACAGACCAACCTGGATAAGTTTGGCAGAAGGAGCTTCCAAAGCCGAAAACATTCACTTTTATGAGACATTCGTTGAGCGATCACAGTGTTTTCCTTAATGGGACTAAATTAAGACAGAAACGTGTGATCAGAGATTAAAAGCCTCTACCGGATAAGGCCTTGCCACTTCAGTGAAACTCAAGTGGTTTGCGCTGAAAATCAGATCAGTAAATTCCTTGAATGATCACACAGAGTTGTTTGTGAAGCCGGTTTATTCAAACCAAACCTACGGTACGTTTTGATTCTAAGCTCGTGAATACATTGTCCAGGCACGTGACATTTTACTTTACACATGAACCTCATTATCGTTGATAGCTATCTTTGCAGCATTCCACTGAATTGGTTTATACTTCAACGTATGACGTAAGAAGAGAATGAGCTAATACCGTATGATTGCAGTACAAGAAACAAGCTACAGTCAACTATTGATCGGATTATTGATTCCACTTCCACCGTCGTTGTGATCGCACTCACACCAAGAGAAACGCAGTCGACCGCAGCAGGAAAGCTTCAACCGTGAGTGAAGTTGAGAACAAGAAGAATTTGAGTGTTTTGATTGACACAAGGTATTTTCGCGACTTCGTTTTATTTCAACTAAAGCTGAATCTTCAACTTGGTTTAAAATGATTGCACATTTGTTCTTTACCAGATTGTTTCCCGATTACGCCATCGCTCCTGAATTGAGGCACCTAGTCGGATGTAGCCGCTTTATCCATGTTCAAAAGAGGGAACTGGGAGCTGACTGTATGCCCACCTGGCAAAACCGTAAATTTAGGAAGCAAGTGAATGACCTTGACTGACTGGGAATTGTAGGCGTCGTAGATGAGCTGTAGGTGTCGTCAAAGGCAGCTAGACCCGCTAGTCCAAAAACGAACAAAGGTTCAAATGAACAAAGGTTTGCAAGTGCCTTGACAAAGTTAATTGTACTCCGTAAGCGGAACACAATTGACATAGAGTGCTTTCCATAAGGTTCACTTTAGAAAATATAATAGAAAGGAAGACCTCACGGTCAGCAGAAATATGAAAACTGTTAGGTAAACCTTTTCTTGAAGGGAAAAAGCAGGCAAGTTCGCTGCAAACTCCCTTACAGCCAAAAACCGGTTTCCATCCCCTTGGAACTCATCAGGTAGGCATAGTCCCAGAGTTTTCCCAACCTTAAGTTCTACTTGGTCTCAAATTGAATGTTGCGAGTTAGTTGACCGTCCAGTTAAAGCTAAATTCGCTTGTAGGTGAGCATAATTTGCGAACTAGTTCAATCTCTTTGCTGTGGTTCACTAATCGTGAACAGAAACTAACTAATGGGATTACGCTTACTTATTCCACTCTGTTACAATTATCCCTCTTTCCAGATTGCCACATAATCATGAATAGGGATTGAGATTGTTAAATGCTTTCAAATGCTGTAGAAACTGAACGGGGAGTCAGAGACATTGAACTCAAAATCGACGTAAACAATAATGATAAAGACACGAACTCACCGGAATGAGGTAAGGTCGACGCTTTTGAAGCCCCGATGGAAGCCACAAATAGAATGAACAACAATCGCATCCTGGGTGTAAGAAAATTAACGTGAAAAGTGGTTGGTCAGTTAGGAAGGTCCAAAGCAATCAATTTTAGACTTTTCAGAATGAACAATCATACTTTCAAAACCAGTTGACAGCACTGTGTATCAAGAGCGGCCTTGAATCAGACAACGAAAAGGAATGAAGCAACAACCTCCTTGTTCTGGGTGTTGAATGCCATTCCTGGATGTTTGATAAAGGGTATAGACGGACTCGTAAACGGCTTCAAAGTTTTCCACACACGTCTAAACCTGTTTTAACTACCGAAGGAACTTGAAACTTTGCGAAAAATTTCAGACGGTATCCTATATCTCTGTAGGAAGTGCCATTCGGCTCACTACTGCACCGTTGGTTTTATTTGCCAAATGATGGCCAAAGTCTCATTCGATTATTCGTCATTTAATCCTTTGAAAGATTAATGTATGTAATACTACTGATACAAATCTAGTCAAAGTTTTGACGCATCTCTGGTTTGTCATTGCGCCTCCGAGGAGTTTCTATGAGGTTGATTCAAGAGGATAGATCAAGCTGTTGTTCCGAACCACGGTGATGGACCTGTTTCATCCACCTTTGATGAAAGGTGAAATTAAAGAAGGTTGATTTAGGCTGAGTTAGAATATCGACGCAAGGTCTTGTGTGTTTCTGTCCTCACTCAACGCTCAAATTCGGTTGTGACATCAGAGCAAAAACGAAAATTCCGGAAAGCTTCTTTCTGAAATAAAATAGACAGAAGCCGTTCAGAATACCAACTGATCAAGTCAATAGCCGTAACATCTAATTGAGGTGGTAAAATTGCACTAATGGCTAAATTAGATAGATTGTAGGGGGCAAGCTGAGCCAGAGGACATCGAAGCGTCTAGTACAAACTTTCTTGTATAACTGTGCCACCTTTCGCAGGTTTAAATAACCCGCTGTTGGAGGGATTGCTCAGGGGATTCAGCCTCAAAGGATGTGAATGACCTCTCTATATCCAGCCTTTCTTTGGGGAGTTTACTCTCTGCATATAAACCCGATACAGCCGTCAAACTGCCAGCCGACAGAAAATATAAAAATAAATGGAGTTATACTATTTGATAACGCCTCAAAGCATTGGTTTGTTGCCCGTACTGGAGAGGATGACACATTCCAGTTGTCCCATTCTAAATGTGGGGCTTACACACAATTTGGCCACGGCGAATTTGTGGTGGGTAACCTCCACTTCTTCACGAAATAAAATAAGCAGCGGAATAAACATCTAGCTCTAAACTGCCCTTCCTCAGGCAACGTGCTTAGACTGCCTTACGATTAAGCCCAAAAAGGGTGCGCCCCGCACGGTACAACTGCAGCCATGGTGGCCTTGTTAACCTTGTCAAGCTAGCGAAATCGTACACGTTTTCACTCACCTTAGCCGCCAAGACAGGATCACGCACTACAAAGGGCTGTGTGTAGTTACCAAAAATCAAAGCAGAATGTAGAAGACGAATATAATTGGTGAGATCAAAGGTTTTGAGACATGCTGTAGAGGTTTGCAAGTGTTCATGACTAATTCTTTCGGTGCGTGCTCCCACAGTCTGCATAGCGGACGTCCACGATCGACTGATTCAAAGGCACTTGGAATGTCCATTAAACGTATTTGAAAGCTCACGCACACGTGCTTTTGTTCACATGCAAAGTCTCTTTTTTTTTATGAATCCGAGTTTCTGGAGATGCTCATTCATGACGGTTCTAAGTAGGGTGAAACAATTTTTTACAGTGCTTCTCTCGTTTTCATTTTAGATGGGCTTCTTTGGAAGCATGAAAACCCTTTTGAATTTTAATCAACCTCCTCACGCCACCTTCAGTTTATCAGTAGTCCAGAGAAAGGACAATTTTACGCGACGAGTGTAAGCTCCAACTGAGAAGTCGTCACTCGAGAAGTCAGCCAACATGTGTCCACGTGATATGGTTCCCGTGATTGAAGGATGAGTGTTGCTATGTACTGTCTAAGTCAGAGATAACCAAACAGCCGGCCAGCCACTGGTTGGAGGGTCGTGGGTTTGAAACTTTCCGATTTTCGTGAGATGCGCACTGTTGGTGATTCCAAACAAGGATGAAACAGCTGTACTCTCGGGTGAAAGCATTGCTCACCGGGTGGATAAGTACTGTATTCCATATGTTCCAATGCTAGCACACTGTCGGGGACAATCACATACCAGCTTGTTTCCCGTTATCCTAAATGACTGTGGGTGTTTGCATGCCACTTTGAAACGAACACTTTCAACCTCTGAATACCTGGTTGGTACAACATGAAAATTACTCCGGAACTACAGGACAATTATTTCAAATCCGTTTATTACACCTGTGCTTTATCACTAGGTGAGTGCACATTCTGGCTTATTCTTTCTCTGCCTTTCATCAATCTAAAGGTACCTTTAATCCGAAGAAATGGAATCAAATGATCATTTAATAATGCATCAGTATAACTGAGCAGTCCATAACTTAACAGTCTTTACAAGAATGGCTTAGTTGAGGATCATTACAGTGTAACTAAGCAACCAGAGATAAACAAATCAAATCCTACTTTGAACACCTATTTTCATAAGCCGACA